CAGCACCACCACATTGGGACCACCACACAATAACCCCCAGCAAATACCCGGAACTTCGGCTGCTGCCAATACCACACCCCACACCAGCAATAGCCATGGCCTTCAGCATCCAACAAACCGGGTCCGACGGCAAAGAGAAAATTAGACGGGGCGAGGACTGGCGCCGTAGCGGGCACAACGCAACGTGCATCATGCACGACCAGCCGTACCATCACACACCAGACCACTTCGCAGCACTGGCCATCAGATCACACCAATACAACCCCGACCATCTCCTACACGTGTGGGGACACGATCACGATGGAGCCTACAGACAGCTCCCCCTTGACCACCCGGAACAAGCATATGTCCTGCTCCACACACCAGAAGGACCCACCCTCTGGAGCCACAACGTCCTCCTCTTCGGATCCTCAGCCAGCGTCTGGGGACACAACAGATTCGGCGATGCCATGGTGTCAGTTTCGAGGCTGATCCTCCTTTGCCCAACAATGCACTACGTCGACGATTATGGTAGCACCGAAGCTTCACACCATGCAGATTCGGGCTTCAGATCATTCGAAGACTTCAACGGGGCTCTGGGCTACAACATGAAGACCAGCAAGAGACAACCACCAGCAATCAGCCATAAGATCCAAGGCGTAATCATTAGCACGGACACAACACACATCACCCTCACCCCTTGCCCACAACGAGTAGAACGCATGTGCTCAGAAATTGCAGCAAGCATCCAGAACAACACCCTCGAACCTGACCAAGCACGCAGAATGGCAGGCAAGTGCAACTTTCTGACCGGCCGTTTATTCGGCAAAGTCGGGAGAGCCCCGCTCAAGGCCATCTACTCCAGAGCACACAGCAACATATCTAGCCTCGATAAACCCACCAAATCCGCATTATACGCCCTTCTAGACATCATCCAACATTGCAGACCCATGCGGATACCCCTGCAAGTACAACATAGACATTTCACCATCATGTACACCGATGCTTATTACATCGCAGGAGGCACCAAACTCAGACCGGGAGATGAGGTCCCTGAGGGTTGGCAACCATCCGATTACACAT